ATCATAAACTAACTAAATTTTAATTTAAAACGCAATATGTAAGTACACAATAAATTTGAAATAAGATTGGAATAACTTCAATCATTCATTATTGTTCCCATTCTTGCAGATATATGTTTGCATTCCATTCAAATATCCATTAATATCTATTGCAGCCTATCAAAACTTAATTGATGAACGTAGGCCTCTTCTATAGATTGCCTCATTGTGGAGGATATTTGCAAAAGATGCCGCGATTGCAAAACAGGTGGACAACTGCAGTTTTTATTTATATTCAGCTATTACCAAGAAGATTCTGCTGTCCATTTCCTAGTTTAGTTTTTCTGACGCCTCTTACGATACTCACGGGATGATACGAGATATTGAACATTCTTACATCGCCACTACACGGAGTAGATACCTTTGTTGTTAATATTTCTAACTTATCAGTCCAAATCGATTCTACTAAAGGAAACGGTCCTCTCCTATAGTAGGGAGAATGCCTTAATAGCCACGTTTGTCAGATAGATTGGCGATTGAGAAGCCGACACTTCTGTCTCTTTCCACTGTTTTGGGTATTTTATTTCTGGTGCAAACTTTAGTGTTATAACTCGCATCTCTCAGAAACCATGATGTCATTTTGGTCATTTCTCACAGTCGCTTCTATTTTATTTATTTAATTTGATTTTCTAACGAGGTCTTGTGAATATTTAGGATATAACCTTATAAAATATACGTGTGTAAACTTTATCTAATTAAAAGATGAGTACGGCTTAAGTTTTAAGTGGTACATACTTATAGTATTTAATAACATATTTCCTTACCTAATGTACACATATTATATTATAATACATACAAGCGGTATGTCACTTAGTACGTATTGTTCAAGATGTTATAATATTACGGTAACAATCAATTAATAAACTTTGTAGCAAGATTAAATAAAGTTGGAATTGTCTAAGGCAAGTATTAATTTTGCACGTGGTAGAGCCATACTGCAGCTATATTAGTAGTATAGTTGTAGCACGAATGGGTCGGCTCGGCCGGGGAAAGACCACGCTCTCACAGAATACCAGCATAAAATAGCAGTTTAACACAGCTGTGTTTCGTATGGTGATTGTAGAGAACCGGAGACCCTTTTTACTGGAAAACTTTTCACAGTGGTAGAGCCACGCGGCAGCTTTTGCTGTCGCACGGATGGGCCGGCTGGAACCGGGGTGGTACGACGACCTCACAGAAAACCAGCGTGAAGTAGAGGTTTACCTCTGCGTTTCGCTTGGTGAGTGCAGGTGGCCGGAGGCCCTTTTTACTCGAAATGAGGCATTCCATCTTGGTCCTCACGAGTGACTACGCATCTACATTTTGATTTGTAATGGAGGATAGATGTAGATGTCTATGGGTCACAGTAACCACTTACCATCAGGAGGACTGTGTGTGCGTTTGTTACGCTATCCTATAAAAAAAATTAAAATATTCAACATGTCCTGTTAGGATAGAACAGAAAAATAAATTATGATGTAAACTGAAAACATACAAGATGAATTATTTAATAAAAAATAAATAGGTATCAACAATAAAATAACTTTCCGTGGGTTTGCCAGACCAAAATTCGATTACAGCGGCCTGTTTCAACTAAGAAAGGTCTTCTGCGCAACATGGTATTATAATCTCCAAGTATACGCGAAAGCACAGGCATTCTCTATTCCCGAAATCTCATGGTTTAATGGGACCGCAATCGAGTACCACCGGAGAGCGATCAAGTGCAGGACCAACGGCTTTACGTGCTTCCCCAGGCATATGGGTAGCTACCTTCACAGAAAAAACCAATTACTGATTTTTGACCCAACTCAGGATTCAAACCTTGTACCACATGAACAAAAATTGCGCTAACGACCACTAGACCAAAACATAATACATAAAAAAATGGTGTTACGTACTTAATAAATAAAAAATCCCTGCAAAGACGGAGCTATAAGTGTCGACGATTAACTTATTTAATATCCTAAGTGACATGGCCGTTTCCACGAAAACTTTCGCAGTTTTCAGCTCCTTAATTAATAAATTAATTTGAAATAAATGGGTCAACATTAAAAATTTTCCTCGTCGTCCATTCTCAAAACCAATATAAATCACACGAAATAAACTTTTTGAAGGCTTAAGTGATGTTTTCTCTGTCGCCTTCCAGTCTAGAACAAACACAAAAGTTTATGACAAATGCTTACAAAGGTTTTCTTGTTAAACGTTTTCTAAAAGTGTGTAAGTTATCTATCAAATATATGATAACCTGTATAAATATAAAGTTGAAGAATTACTCTTACCTTTACAGTCTATTAAAGTCCACTACTGAACATAGGCCTCCTCCATAGGTTACCTCATAGGGGTTATATTTACTATAGTTAGAAACGTGGCAACCGACGGGAATTAAGAAAAGGGACATTTCTCGTCAAGCGGACAGGAAAAACAAGTGAGGTTCTGAAATTTGTTCATATTAGGTCCAGTTATACTTCTAGTAGATATAAATACGAACACATTTTTTTTTCATATGATGTGTTTTTGTCTAGTTATGGACTCTTATAGAATCGTCTATATCGAAATTAGGATTTTTTTGAAAAACTTTTTCATATTGAAAACAATTACAATAAATTTGCAAACTACTCGATTTTTAAAGAAAATTTCCTGATCTTTTTAAAAAGAAATCATATATGAAAATAATTTTTTTTAGTCTTCTAAACCGAAAATAAACATTTCAAAACAAAATTTTGGAAACTTCGACCATTTTTTTTTAAATTTTCTTATTTCAAAATATAGCTTAGAGTATCTAAAATAATACACCAGAAGTTTTGAAATGGTATCTGCATTAGTTAAGGAGATAGGTAAATTAATATATGTACATGTAGCAGTCAGAATAACGTTAGGCGCTTGTTTATGTCGGTTAACATGCGAATTATGGAATTAAAACGCGACATTATTAAAATTTATCATCCTGTTCATGTTTGTTGAAGCTCTAACAATAATTAGGGGTAGTTATTTAAAAATAAAATAATATCACAAGACATTGATAAGAACATTTAAATAGCTACAAATATTAGTAGGAAGAAGTAAAAGATAATTTTATCTTTAGCTTATCAAAAGGTTTACTCTTCATTTCTTAAAGGATTAATTATTTAATTACTTTCAATTAAAATAATTGTTTAATTATTTTAATTGAATTATTATTGAAGTTCAATTTCTCGATGATTGACTGCATTGCACTTCTTTATTAAGATTACCTACTGAAGGTTTTTCATTTAACAGTCGTTTCCTGCAAGATAGCATAAGCATTTGCAGAAGATCCCCACTTTTGCACTAAACTTGTAGGAATTATTCTTAAACTTTTACGCATACGATGATTTGGTAAATAAAATGGAATAAAATCGCGTTATTCATCACCTGTCGTAATGTTTATTGACTTATTCCTCCAATTTCTTGACAGATGTTGGTAGTAGAAATTGTATTACAGTTAATGTGTCGTTTTAAATCAATGCTAGTTTACTTGAAATTTTATGCGGGTTATGTGAAACACGGCCTAAGCCTTTGATCCATCGTAATGTTTAGAATGATTTTAAATTTAAATATTCTCTGAAATTCAAATAATAAAAAGTCGCCGACGTAGCTAATGGTATAAAAGCTTATTTTTGCACAAAATTGAATTCGTTCATGTGGACTTATGTTTTATCAGTGGATTTGTAATTCCTGACATAACATTGACAGAAAATTGCAAATAAATTCCTTTGCATTACGACGTTATATTTCCGAACAAAAATATATCAGAGAACTTGAAAAAGTTATAAATTCCCATTACGGGTTCATTGATTCACGGAGGATGCCAGGTTATACAGTGAAGGAAGCCTCCCTCTTAATTACAGAGCAGCTTATTTATTGCTACTTTTTATGCTCCCGTTTCTCGTTAACTGATGCAATCTCCGAAGACTAATTATCGACCTTTTTTAAAGCATCTTCCCTGCATTTAAAAACATTACCTTCGTTCATTTTGTTTACAAAGTTTATTATGGTAAATACTAGGGTTTAAAATATAAAGTAAAATCTTTTTTTCAAAATGCCAACTGCACGCGGTGGTCCCTGCCAGGTGACGGTTGAACTAGGCTCTGGCGATAAACTCTAAGTGAAAATTTCGAATCCGAAGTACCACGCTCTCACAGAAAACCAGCGAAAAATAGCAGCTTAACACAGCTGTGTTTCGTATGGTGAGTGTAGAAAACCGGATACCCTTTTTACTGGAAAAGTGGCATTCCATCTTAATCCTCACGGGTGACAATGCATCTACATTTTGATTCGCAAACGAGGATAGATGTAGACGTCTATGGGCCACAGCAACCACTTACCATCAGGTGGACTGTGTGCTCGTTTGTCTTCTTAACCTTATTATCAGATTAAGGGTATCGCGACTCAGCGATTACAAACCTTGGTGCCCAACGTGGTGGGTATGGGCATATCTTCCACGATATACTTTATTTATTTAAGTAAATAAATTTGTTATTTGTGCATCGTCCGTGGTGAATAAATATCGTTAGATAAAATCAGTTAAACTGAACTTATAGAACATGAAACGTGAAATCCGTTTATAATAATGCTATCATGTGACAAATGTGAATTTTAAATGAATAAATTTATATAGCAATATATTATAGAAAATACTAAAGTAGGCTCTACGTATAAACAAATGCGGTCTAATTTAGACTAAGAAATTGTAAAGTCCTGACTTGTTTCGTATGATACGTAGTTGAAACTCTAAAATTTCTTAAACAGACAAACATTGCTAGAATCCGTATGTGTTCCTCGTCTTCAAATATCCATTTCTATAATGACTAGAGCTCATCAAATTTAAATTAAAAAAAATATTGAAACCTTACAATTATCGTCATAGACTAATAGTAATGTAAAAAATATGTTATATTTATATGTTGTAACATCGTTAAATCCATATTTAAGTATTTTTATGTATATTTAAGTAAATCACTTACGTATAATTGAATCTGCATAAGTCGTCATTGCTCGAATGATCTGGAGCCGGTACCGCGGCCCAGTGAACTGCTCGACCTCCACTAGTAACTGCTGCCAGTAGCCTTTGTCGACAGCCGCAAGATGACCACACACTAGCGCTTGCTACACCTCCAGCCTACAAGTTAAATTTATTATAAGTTCTTTTTCTTCTTTTTGTCGCATATTATAAAATCTGATATTGCATGCCTCATAACGCGAAGCGTTATAGGTATGTTCTACTCTCGGGACGTCAAAGTCAAGCAGTTTAGTGTTCTTAAAATGTCTCTATCATAACCATATTGAACACATGTACACACATATTTTTACGTGATAGAGCCATCATCATCATCATCATTATTACAGCCTTTCATAAGTCCACTGCTGAACATAGGCCTCCCCCAAGGAATGCCACAAAGCACGGTCCTGAGTCACCTGCATCCATCGACTCCATCTCCTGGGGGGTCGCCATATTAGTATAGTTGTGCCACGAATGGGTCGGCCACACCGGGGAAGAAACACGCACATAATACCAGCGTAGCAGCTTAACCTACTGTGTTTCGTATGGTGAGTGTAGAGAACCGGAGACCATCTTTACGGGTAAAGAGGCATTCCATCTTAGTCCTCACGGGTAACAACGCATCAGCATTTTAATGCTTTATTGAGGATTGATGTAGATGTCTATGGGTTACAGCAACCACTTACCATCAGGTGGACTGTGTGCACGTTTGTCACCCTATCCTATAAATAAAAAAACTTACACGATAATATGTGTAGCCGTATATCAAGAAAACACTCTAATTAATCCATCTTATATTTTCTAAAAAATCCTTTTATATCGCTACTTTGAAAAAAAAAACGGTTAGAAAAAGTTTTTACGTGGACGGATGTTGATTTTGTATGTGGTCACGATAACTCCCGAAAAAATAGACGTATCGAGACTGGGTTTTTTTTATTAACTTTTGAATTACATCTACTGGTTTCCTAATTCATATCAGTAGCCTAGTATGCGTAGTTTTTTAGTAAAATGATTTTCAACTTCAAGTTTTATTGCAATTAAAATTTTAAAGCCGCTGTCATATATTTTATTTAGCATTTAATAGACAAAGGACAAATGTACCATACAGCCTATATCGATTTTATACTTTGTGTAATTGATTTATTTTGGTAAACATTATTTTTTTTTCCCTGTAGGTGACACTACCTGTTAAAATAATAGAGCGCTAAATTTAATACACGTAAATAACATATTTTAAAAGTCAGGAATATGTACAATTTATATTTTTCATCAAAATTAAATGAAATTCTTATAAGGCGAGCACTTTTGATATTTCCAAACTATTTCAATTTTAATTTAGCTCGCTACGTAAAATCAGTTTGGTAGTTCTATTCTTATTGCATCTACATTTAAGTGTTCAAGGTAGCTAACTCATTAGTAATTTATTAATATAACGTTATTGCTGCCATTTTTAAAACTAATATAGCTACCACTTTTTGGGTGATTAATTAATTACACAATCATTGTATTATGTGTGATATTGATTAAACATAAAGGAAGCATATTATTTGTTTTAATGTAACAATTATACATCCTCTCAGCTAATGATGATGATGATAAATTTTAACTTAACTTTCAGTGTCTTACCTGAAGCGGCGTTGGTAGATTTTCAACAAGGAGGTAGCACTTAGACGTTGAATTCCAACGTCGGATTCTCTCCCTCGCAAGAACATAGTGCGTCTCAATTTCTTTTCCTTCAACTGCAACTAATTCCGCCTGTAACAAGTAAGAAATTCATATACCAAAGTGTTTGTCTTACATCTTTCTAACGTTGGTACGTGTATTCGTTATCGTGTGACCACTTGGTAGATTCATAGCTATCCAATAGGTCTATTTAGTCAAGTTTTTAACAAATTATTTAAGTATTTATCATCTAAAATGACTCACACTCACAAGGTATATTGGTTTAGCGCCAAAACTGAATCATAAAATCTAGTAGAGTACGTGAGCGTAATATGGTTATTCGGTTAATATGATCACTTTCTTATAACTCAAAAACTAAAGCCTTGTTTGCATAGATGGCTCTGTGATGCGATAGCCCTTCATCAGTCAATCAAATCGAAGTGTTCCTAATTATTGCTAAAGCCTGTTTGCTATTTTTTTCTTAATATTTTTTTATAGAACAAACAACAACAACAAGTGATCACACAGTCAACCTGATGGTAAGTGGTTGCTGTGACCCATAATCATCTACATATATCCTCGTTTGCGAATCAAAATCCAGATCCGTTGTTAGCCGTGAGGACTAAGATGGAATGCCTCGTTTCCAGTAAATAGTGTCTCCGGTTCTCTACACTCACCATATGAAATCCAAGCAGCATTAAGCTGCTACTTTACGCTGGTATTCTGTGAGAGCGTGGTCCTTCCCCGGTCGAGCCGACCCATTCGTGCTACAACTATACAATTAATATAGCTGCGGCATGGCTCTACCACATGTAACTGTGTTTTTGTATCTGTCTTGCTCCTAGTTTTGGTTTTATAGGGCGACAAAGCTTAAGGTGACCATATTACCCTCACGTACTTTACTTAGTACTAAACTTCAAACAAAAAAGGCTACTGATGCATTGTCACGTCTGAGGACAAGGATGGAATGCTCACAGCCTGTTATTATACTGGCTTTGTATACCCTTTAGACCGGATCATAGCATTATAAGCACAGAAATAGTTTGGTAAAAAGGTAGCACCGATATCTAGATATAAAAGGAGTTCTTCCATATAGTAATGTCTAGCAACGTCCATGAATATGAAGTTTCAAGATCCTACACGTCTCTTATGAGTTTAATAAGCGGTGTTAATAAATACTACGACTTCTGTAGAAGATTTTAAATTTCATTTTCCATTTGCCTTTGCCGTTATACCTAACATAAAAAGATTTATTAAGTTACGTCTAGTAAAACTTGTTTCCCGATTCTAAAAATGTTTCCAATTTCTAAAAAGAGGGATTTAAACAATGATATCTTTTTTATAGAATAAGGGTGACAAACGAGCACACAGTCCATCTGATGGTAAGTGGTTGCTGTGGCTCATAAACATCTACCTCTATCTTCGATTACGAATCAAAATGCTGATGTGTTGTCACCCGTGAGGACTAAGATGGGATGCCTCGTTTCCAGTAAAAAGGGTCTCCAGTTCTCTACACTCACCATACGAAACACAGCAGTGTTAAGCTGCTATTTTACGCTGGTATTCTGTGAGAGCGTGGTCCATGCCCGGTCGAGCCGACCCATTCGTGCTACAACTATACTACTACTGTATAGCTGCAGGATGGCTCTACCACGTAAAAAGTAAGATTAAATCTGTTTATCATCATTATCATCATCATTCAAGCCCTTCAAAAGTCCACTGCTGAAATAAGGCCTCTCCCAAGGAATGCCACAGCACGATCCTGAGCAACCTGCATCCATCGACTTCCTGCATGTCTTACCAACTCGTCACTCCATCTCGTGGGGGGTCGCCCTACACTTCGCCTGCCAATACGAGACTGCCGCTCGAGAACTTTTTTCCCCATCAGTTTTAGATTCTTCGAGCTTTATGGCCGGCTCATTGCCACTTCAGCTTACTAATCCGTTGGGCTATGTCGGTCGCTCTGGTTCTACTGCGGATATCCTCATTTCTAAGTTTATCACGCAGAGAAATTCCGAGCATAGCCCACTCCATAGCTCGCTGAGCGACCTTGAGCTTCCTCATACGGCCAGCACTGTAGGTGTTCCTTCCATATGGTATAATATGGTGGCTGGTCTCAGTTCCATAGGTCATCACTGGTAACCCGCACTGGTTTTACAGTCTCGTTTTCAAGTTTTGAGGTATACCTGACGAGAAGTCGTGCCGAAATTTCCCGAACGCTGCCCAGCCGAATTGAATCCGTCGATTGACTTCTCGGTCTCGACTTACCTTGTCAGACTATTTGTCCCAGGTAAACATACACCTCAACAAGAGCTTAGTAATGGTGTGACATGGACGTTTGTTTTGTCAATTCAAGTCATCTTAAGACCTATCCGTTGGGACACACTATTGAGGTCATTGAGCGTAGTGCTTAGGTACTCCAGCGATTCTGCCATAAGGACTATATCGTCGGCAAACCGAAGATAAGCGATATACTCGCCGTTGATTTTTATACCGTATCCTTTCCACTCCAATAGCTTGAAAACGTCTTCCAAAGCAGAGGTGAAAAATTTCGGGGGTATAACGTCACCCTGTCTTACACCTTTCTGCAGTTGGATATGTTTCGTACTATGTTTCTGTACTCGGTTAGCCATCGTAGCCCTAATGTACAAACATTTCAGCACTTCGACTTTCCGACAGTCATCTTGCTACTGCAGCACCTCCAATATTTCGACGGAATCAAAGGATTACTCATAGTCCATATACGCCAGATATAGTAGCAAATTGTACTCCTAGGGCTTCGGTATAATTTGCCTAAAGAGTGTATGTGGTCTATGGTGCCTTTACAGCCTTTTCGGAAACTGGCTTTTTCGGGAGGCTGGAAGCCATCGAGTCTGCGTGCGAGACGATTCGTAATGACTCTCGAAAACAGCACGTAGACGCGGCTCAGAAGGGAAATCGATCTGTAGTTCTTCAAGAAAGCGTTGTCGCCTTTCTTGAAGAACAAAACCACCGCACTTCTGCTCTACGCCTCCGGTGTAATGCCACCATGGAGGACGGAATTAAAGAGCTTCTGAAGGACTTCAAGTACCGGTTTTCCACCCGCTTTTAGAAGCTCCGCTGTAATACCATCCTCGCCTGGGGCCTTGCCTTTTTCAAAGTGCGGGGCAGTTATTCTAATCTCGCTAAGATTGACGTCCAAAATACCATCGGAATAGTATCGGATAAGACTTACCCTTGGATCGTTTCTCACACTTGCTAATATGTGACTGCAACGATAATGTGTACAGCTGCCCATAGAACCTCTCAATCTCACTCAAAATCTTAGGTGTCCCGGAAACGACGCTGCAGCACTCGGTCTTTAGTTGGCTCTTTCTGGCAGACAGATATCTAGCAAAGACTTTGGAGCCCTGGTTCCGCTCGATCGCTTCTTCAATATGAGCTGTATTGAAGTTACGTAAGTCCCGCCGCATGTATTTGAAAATCTGTCTGTTCAGTTGCCTGTACGTCAAATGTGCTGAAATTAAGCTACAGTCAGCTTCATTTCCCGTCTAACAAAAATAAGAATAAGAGTGTGATCGGAGAGTTTTTGTGTTCTTCTGCGGCGGGTCTTGCAGAACTTAGCTCCGACCACATGGACAGTTTACACGAGCTTGTCATTCATAGCGCTCACTGCGTTGCAATTTTCTAGGCACTAAAAACGGTTTTGTAGCTCGAGCAGAAAGGTTTCGTGACTTTAGATTAGAGCAGAAGGTGGATGGAGCGTTGACTTCATTAGACGAGACCTCTCCAACCTAACGTTTAGGTTCAGTGTGGCTCTAACCATTCGTTGAACGCTACCAGTTTTCACCCTCGCGATCACTGAGACATCACTGAACAGTTGTCGTCTGGTCGAAGTCAATCCCATTTTTTGTCGAACTGTCGGGGCACGACCAGGTCCACTTTAAGAAAGTGGGCTCAGAAAGTGGAAAGTGGCCCCTCAGAAAGTTTTTGATCACAAAGAGTGCCTCTCTCTCCATGGAGTTGGCCAGCTGCTGGCCCCTTGGGTTCCGTTGCCCTATTCCAAATTTCCCTACCTTCGGCTTACCATTCTCTCTTGTGCCTAGTTTTGCTTTGAAGTCTCCCATTAACACCGTATAGTGGGTTTTGGAGTAATCTAGATATATGCTCATACATTTCCTCCACCTCCTCATCGGGATGTGCCGAGGTTGTTGCGTAAACCTGTACGAACTTCAGCGAATACTGTTTGGTGATTCTGAGTGTAAGGTACGCAACCCTCGTCGACACACTCTCAATCCGCCCCGGCTCGGTTTATTTCTGGATCTCGACAAAAATGCCAGCTACTGGGTCCAATTGCGAATCTAAACCATTCCCTAATCATTTAATCACACACACAAATTTTCATCGAAATCAGTCCAGTCCCTTAGGAGAAGTTCAGCCACATATACACAAACAGAAGTATTATATGATGCATATTATATGATGCATATGCATGTGCTATTCACATAAACCTTTGCATTGGATCATTCTGTCTATTAATGAAAACTGCATCAAAATTGGTTTTGCAATTTAAAAGACCTAAGCATACAGACGGGAAGCGGCTTTGTTTTATAATTTGTAGAGGTTATACTGCATGAGTAGTCCCATTTAAGCTAGAAAAAAATTCCACCCTTAAGAAAGGCAAAACAGGAGATGAAGTATTAAATGGAACTAATTAGATTACATTGGATTTGTGATATTCCTTCGTAATTAACTTTTAATAAAAAGTACTCGTAGTACTCTAAATGTTGATTAAGTTACTCCTTATAACATCAACTATTTGCGAGTGAAAGTCCCGTTAAAATAGATACAGCCGTTTCTGAAATTAGCTGGAACAAACATACATACAGACAAATAGACAAAATAAAAAAAATTGTTATAAGCACCGTATATACTTTTCACATGCATTTAGTGTAAAGCTGTTATTTTGACTTTACAAACAGATACTTCAATTTTATTTATTTGTACAGATTACTATTTAATACCCTTTACATTAATTCATAATCTGAATTAGTTTTATCAATAAAATTGTAATACGAAGTTTGATTCCGTTATCCATTACAGATTTTCATCAG